TCTATATCTCCCCCAAAAACGTCACAAAATACTCCTACTAGAGAGGCGCCAACAATGAATAACAAAAAACAAACACAAATAAATAAAAAATACAAAGCTAATAACAACACAATGACGTCTTATATAACCAGAAACGAAGATGTATGACTCTACGAAGCACCCTCCAACAGCACTCAAGAAAATAGTAATAATAACTTAAATAATTTAAACACTCCCTCAGTACGGGTGGTCGCCGCGAGGAAGTTAGACCAAAACCCTCCATCTCAAACTCAAAAATATACTAACCTGCACCTCCTCACATACAATGTAAGATCGCTTGTGGATAGCACAAGACTACCACAACTAGAACACAGTTTAAGAAATATAAAATGGGATGTTATAGGACTGTCAGAGATAAAAAAAGCCGGTCAACAGATAGAGGAACATGGAAACTTTGTACTCCTCTACTGTGGCGAACAAAGCGGAAGAAATGGTGTCGGTTTCTTAATACAAAATCACTTGAAAAAATATATTGACAATTTTAGTTTTTATACAGACAGAATAGTCCGTCTAGACATGAACTTTAACAATAATTATATAACCTTCATACAAATATATGCACCGACAGAAAAAGCACCAGAATCAGAAATAGAAAACTTCTATAATGACTTAAGAAAAGCGATGAAAGACATCAAAAAGGATACTTTTATCGTAGGCGATTTTAACGCTAAGATTGGTTTGCCAAGAGAAGAAGAAAACCTAGTGACAGGAAAGTTCGGATATGGGAGTAGAAACAGTAGAGGACAACGATTAATAGAATTCTGCTACGAGAATAAATTGACAATAACAAACACAAAATTTAGAAAGAACACAAAAAATAAATGGACCTGGCAATCTCCCGACGGAAACACAAGAAATGAAATTGACTACATATTAGCTAAAAATATAAAAATAGTTAGCGATACTGAAGTACTGAACATACCATTTTCATCTGACCATAGGGCTGTAAGGTGTACTATAAAGCTAAATGGAAATTTTAAACAAAGTAGGAAAAAATTCGACAACAAGAGAAAAAACTTCACGCCAATCGAACAAGACTTATTAAAAACGTCACTAAGAGATGAAGACAATGTAATAGGTGGAACAGCAGATATTACATATGAAAATATTATTAACACAATCGAAAAATGCGTAAAAAAACTACCAAATTCATATAAAATTGAAAAGAAGCATGTAGATATCAGTAAAGAACAAGATATTATGGAACTTATAAAGGAAAGGGAACAACTAAAAAAAATACAACATAGAACATTTAAGCAAAGGAAACGACTAAGAATACTACATAAAAAGATAAGACAAAAAATTAAAGATAAACAAAAAACTCATAGGCTTAAGATCATACAAGAAGAATTAGAGCTATCAGGGTCTAGTAAAAGAGCTTACAATAAAATTAGTAATACGAGAAATTGGATAATGAAATTAAAAGCAAAAAATAACAAAATAGTATCATCCAGAAGAGATATGTTACAAATAGCAACCGATTTTTTTAAAGAATTATACAAAGAACATAAATACAATATACAAAATAGTCTAAATAATACAATTACTCAAAATCAAAGTGAGGAAGTTCTCCCATTCCTACAATCAGAAATTAGAAATGGTATTTCCAAGATGAAGATAAATAAAAGCCCTGGTGAAGATGGCATAACATGTGACGTAATTAAAGCATTTGATGATTCGATTATTCCTTTATTAACTGCCTTATTTAACCAAGTATTGTTTCAGAGGAAAGTCCCCGATAAATGGAAAAGCTGCATAATCACTCTTCTGTATAAAAAAAGGAGATCCAAAAAGTATAAGCAACTATAGACCAATAAGTTTGCTTTCGGTCATATACAAACTTTTTACATCCATACTTTTAAATAGAATATCTAGAAATATAGAAGAGAACCAAGCTAAAGAACAGGCTGGTTTCAGGAAAAACTTCTCAACTATCGATCACATAAATACAATTACACAGATAATAGAAAGATTTATAGAATTTAAAAAAAAAAACAATATACCTACTATTTATAGATTATAGCAAGGCATTTGATTCCGTGAAACATAATAAATTGTGGGAAGCCTTGGTCGAGCAAGGAATTCAAACAACATACATAGAATTGCTAGAAAATATATATACTAACTGCAAAGCGAAAGTGAAATTAGAAAAGCCAGGAGAAGAATTTTCCATACAGAAAGGTGTCCGCCAAGGAGACACAATCTCACCAAAACTGTTTATAGCTGTACTTGAGCACATTTTCAGAAAACTGAAGTGGAGCAAAGAAGGTATAAATATAAACGGAGAGTACCTATCAAACCTTTGTTTTGCGGACGATATTGTAATCATCTCTGAAAGTCAAGAACAGTTACAAAAAATGATTTATGATCTAAATGCCGAAAGTTCTAAATGTGGCTTGATAATTAATCTAGATAAAACAAAAATCATGACTAATGGGGAAAAAATACCAGTCCTTCTAGAAAACAAAACCATCGAATATGTGGATGAATATATATATTTAGGTCAAAATATCTGTTTCGTGAACAGGACAACAAAAGAAGTAGAAAGAAGAATAGCATTGGCATGGAAAAAGTACTGGTCCTTAAAAGAAATATTCAAAGGAAACTTCCCATTACAAATAAAAAAGAAAATTATGGACTCAAACGTTCTACCAACTCTTACTTACGGATGTCAAACTTGGGTCTGCAATGCAGAAATAAAAAGAAAAATAAGATCATTTCAAAGAGCTACAGAAAGAAGTATGTTAAAAATCAAACTACAAGATCGAATCAATAGCAGCAAAATTAGAAGGAGAACAAAAATTACAGATGCCCTAACGACAATAGCGAGGCTTAAATGGAAATGGGCGGGACATGTCATAAGATCCAGTGACGGTAGGTGGAGCGAGCGCATCCTACATTGGTTCCCTCGTGATGGTAAGAGAGACCGTGGTCGACCTCTTAGAAGATGGAAGGATGATATAGAGGCAGTAGCGGGAAACCTGTGGACACGTACTGCAAAAGAAAGAGACAAATGGCACGAGATGGAGGAGGCCTTCATCCAACAATGGATGATCCCTGAATAGAAGATGGTAACCACATATTGAACCAACACGCAAATACTAGCATATTCACACAAAACACACACATACACGCGCAAACACACACGCGCATACACGCGCAAACACACACACACACACACACACACACACACACACACACACACACACACAGTTAAATTTGTTAAAAGTGGGAATAAAGGCTTTTTTATTTTTTTATTTATTTTATTTTATTTATTATGTCTTTCTAGCGTCCTCCCATCTGGTTTATTGTAATTAGGAATTTCCACGTGGCCACATTGAGGCCCGACCTACGTCTGCTCGGGAAGTCTTCAGCTCATGGGCCCCTGAAGGTTTGACTCTTTAAGGGAGCAGCCGTAGGCCGTAACAATCTGGTAGTTCACTGCTGAACATAGGCCTCCCCCAAGGAATGCCACAAAGCACGGTCCTGAGCCACCTGTATCTATAGACTTCCCGCATGTCTTACCAGGTCATCACTCCATCCAGTGGGGGGTTGCCCTACACTTCACCTACCGGTATGAGGCTGCACTCGAGAACCTTTCTTCCCCATCGGTTGTCGGTTCTTCGAGCTATGTCGGTTACACTGGTTCTTCTGCGGATATCCTCGTTTTTAAGTCTATCACGCAGAGAAGCCCCGAGCATAGCCCTCTCCATAGCTCGCTGAGCGACCTTGAGCTTCCTCATACGGCCAGCAGTGAAGGACCACGTCTCAGATCCATAGGTCATCACGGAAAACACGTACTGGTTGTACAATCTAGTTTTGAGATATGTCTGACGAGAAGATGTGTTGTAATCTCCCGAACGCTGCCCAGCCGATGTGAGTCCGTCGATTGACCTCTCGGTCAAAGTTGGACTTACCTAGTCGGACTATTTGTCCCAGGTAAACATACCCATCAACAACTTCGAGCTTAGTGCTCCCAACAACTACCGTTCATTGATGTTAAACATGATTTTTGTTTTGTCCATGTTCATCTTGAGACCTCCGTTAGGAGACACTATTGAGGTCATTGAGCATAGTCCTTAGGTGCTCCAGCGATTCTGCCATAAGTCCTGTATCGTCGGCAAATCCAAGGTGAGTGATGTACTCGCCATTGACGTTAATACCGTATCCTTCCCAGTCCAGTAGCTTGAAAACTTCTTTCAATGCAACGGTGAAGAGTTTCCGGGATATTAAGTCACTCTGTCTTAAACCTCTCTGCGTCTGCATTTTAATTCGCAAACGAAGATAGATGTAGATGTCTATGGGCCACAGCAACTACTTCCCATCAGGTGGACTGCGTGCTCGTTTGTCAACCTAAAAAAAACATACATTTGCACCACCACCAGGTCCCGCCGCACTATGGCGGTTCTTTTCAATGAGGCTCACCTTCTTCCGCGGCCTCTACCTGCGTACCTGCCTGCGGAATCTTAGCCCTCCTCTCCCCCGCCTTTGTTCGGCCATGGGACCAGAAAAACGAGCACTCGGAAGCACCACCCTCCCCTAACCCCGCGGCGGATCTGGTCTGTGGCTCCACCGCCAACTAAGTTTCAGCCTTGGAAAACTAGGTAGAGCGACGCCACGCAATACCGTCACTTCTCTCCCCAGCGGCCCCACCACCACCACATCAAGAGTGCGACTCTGTCAGAGTCGCGGAGGATAGGGTGAGTGGCTCATAGTCATACCAAAACTCCTTTCCCGCCGACCTCCACCTTGGTTACAGCGGTAGGGGAAGCGGACATCCCTCTCGCCGTATCCCTCCACTAACACACATCCGAAGTATGCTCACGAAGCAACTCAATTAGTTATTCCGGCTGCGGTGAGAACGAGCATTCTGCAAGAGGGTACATGATATACCGACTGCGGGTCATCAAGGTCTGGAACGAACGCTACAACGTCTGTAACAGAGGTATTATTTTACTTCAATGAGAAAATTTGTTACGGAATATCTTAAAAATCGTGAAGAATGTCAAAGATATGAGATTTCCAATCAAAAGCCAGCAGGACTACTTCAGACTCCGGTACAAAACCAACGAGGCAAAGTGTTAGCAACAGATTTTTTTGGTCCACTGTCTGAAGGAGAATCTGGAGAGAAATGGATCCTCCTTATAGAAGATATTGCCACTCGATGGGTGGAAATGCTTGCACTTAAAGAAGCAACTGCAGAAGTAACTGCTAAAATACTTATCGAACAATACTTCCTTAGATATGGGTTTCCTAGGAGAATTGTCTCTGATAATGGAATACAGTTTGTATCAGCTGTTATGCAACAAACTATGCACCTCCTTGATATTAAGCAAAATATTATTGCTCTCTATCACCCGGAAGTGAACCCAGCCGAACGAAAAAACAGAGATCTCAAAACACAACTTTCGATTCTGGTCCAGAACAATCATAGAGCGTGGCCTAAGTATCTGCCCGAAATTAGATTTTCTATGAATTCTGCAAAGTGCTCCACTACTGGCTGTAGCCCAGCCTTTTTAATGTTTGCTCGAGAGATGCGAACGCCTTACGACGCCTTACACAGCGTGATTTGAGGGCAATACTCTCTAAAGAAAACTTAGTTTCTCAGATTACGCTATATTAATTTTATTAAACGACTCAATGAAGTCCGTGATAAATCGGAACTAAATCAAGATAGGGCAAAAGCAGTTCAAGACCATCGGCGTCAATTATCACCTCAGTACCAAATAAGTGACATTGTATTGCTAAGAACTCATCTCACTAGCAATTCATCCCAAGGCTTAACGCGAAAATTTCTCCCAAAAAGAGATGGTCCTTAATCTCTAATCTCTCGACAAATAAGTCCAAGTACATATTTAATTAGTGATATACCATCCGGTGCTAGTGTAGGAAACTTCCATTCTTCCGATTTAACTTTGTTCCACAATAACGTAAGAAGTGATGCTGTACCGGTTAGACCAAGACGTCCCCGAGGACGTCCGCGTAAGTCTAGAAACGCCGCGCCGCGAATTGTCGGTGCCAAGTCACAAACGAGACGCACTTGTAACTTGGAGGGGGAGAGTGTAACGCGGCTACATTTTGCTCCTTTCTCTCTGCCTGCGCTTGATCCGTTAGCCAATGAGAACGACGGTAAAAGGAGCCGTCGTCGAGTTATCCTTCCCGCGCGTTTCCGACACTAACCACTCTTTGCTCGTAGCCTTAAGGAGAATCATACCTAATAATTATTAATAGTAACTTTTAATCAGTGAATAAATAGTTGTGAAATTATAATAAATATGTGGCAATAAACTGTGTCGTGATATTATTTCTTGTATGACACGAAAATATCCAAGTTTACGCCGAAGAACCCTACTGAAACGTAAAAAACACACTAAACACTACATTATTTGTATAATATTATTATAATAAGACTTCAAAAATTTAACTGTCCAAACTTTAGATAAAAATAGAGACAGATTTTTACACATTATAAAATTGTAGTACATTAAAGATAAAAAATCTTGAGATTATTCTATTTAAGCCATTATGAACTTAACTAAGTATCTATTTATCAACCAATAAAATGTTTAATCTTACTTTACCACCCGCACCTCACGGTCACACTAGTGCAATATTCATAGTATCACACTATTCTCCCCAAGGGGTTGCCCGGATTTTCGGATTATATTTCCAAGTCACAATGATAAAACTTTTAGCGTAATTAGGTATAATATATTTAGTAATACTCTTGAAGCGCCACTAGACGCCCGCACATGAGACGCGCGATTCAATATGCCAGGATAGTATAAGTTCCATAGTATTTGATACTCACAACGTTCGATGCCCGATTTATGCTTGATGGCCGACGACATTGTGCCGAGGGTTTAAATAGCGTGGTTCATCGCCTACAGCGTTAGTCGTAGAGAAGAGGAACTCGTGGTTAAGTAATAGCTGTGCAATAGATTTGTGAGATTAAGTTGCACTTGCCGCGGTCAGTCCATGAATGAGTGACTATTTTCTTAACATACAGAGATTGAGAGAATAGAGCATCCTCAGAGACTTGGTGCATTACTCTGTTAAGATCATTATGTTTTTAAAATTCATGCAGCTAAAATGATAATAAGTTTATTATTACTTTATACTTTTCAGGGACAGATGAAAGGACATAAACATGAAGCATGATGAAGCCTCATAAACACATCGCATTTAAACAGAACAATCTTACTTAACTGATTCCTACAAGTTTCTTTACTTGAATTATTAAGTTTACATTCATATTTAAGTCGAATGTTAAAATAAACGTCTATTATGTATTTAATTATTAATTTTTAAGTGTTTGTTATTATCAAAAGTAATACTTATATGAAAACTAAAACAGCCATTATGTACTCCGTGTCCCCGTTTATTATTTCCCCATCAAAATATTTTATAAAATATAAATAGGTATATAGTTAGTTAAGAATCTACCTATTTATATAAAAAATATGTTAAAAAAGAAATTCCAGGGAAAGTGTCCATGGCAGTAAATATTTTTTCCAAAGATCATAACTCGAAAATACAACTTTCCGATCTGATTCTTGGGGAGTTTTTCTAAGTTTATCGGTAGAGTCACCTGAGATTTTATACATTTGAAATAAAATCCAAAAAAAGGCAGGTAGGTTCAGCATATTCCCAGGAATTATATGAATATTTCATAATTATTTCATTAATATAGTTAATACATTTTCGTGCACTAAACTATTTTTTTTAAATATTTTTACCACTTTTTTATTCTTTCGATAGTTCTTCTAAGTAAAATGTATATCACTAGGTAACGCACACAATGACAAATCAAAATTAGTCACGAATTTGACGCGAATGTCACAATTGCTGTCAAACTTTTTTTTTCACCGTCGCTAGTCTATGGATTCATCAGATGACAACATAATAAAACTGAAGTACTTATTTATAAATACGATTTAACTATGACAGGTTTATAAAACATTTATGAATAGAGAATTTTATAATAGGTTTAATAGTACTAATGAGCCTTTTAACTATTGAGTGTTATAACGCCATTTTAATAGATTTTTATGAATAAGACTGTTAGTAATTTAGAGTAATTTTTAATTTTCTAGTTGTAGATTGTAGCTTTGCTTTTTTTTAACTTGCTTTACGGCTCCGGGTTCTAGATTTTCTGAGCTTTCTTTGCTCAATTAGTATAGCACAGAGTACCTTTGTATAAACCGAAACAGTAATCTATGGAAAGTACATAGATAAATAAATATGTATCTAGCTAAATTCTGTTAAGCACTGACTTAAAAGTATATGGACTGGGCATAACTACAGAATTAGCGTGACTACCTAAACAAATCTGGCGCATAAAATGGCCGCCTTTTATAGGGTTGTAACTCAGCAATAAGGGCAGCTGATACGGATATTTTTACTAATATGAGTTTGTTCTTATTTCACATAATTATAGAAATTAAATCCATAGACTAATTGCATAACACACCTAAAATGGCAAACCATATCAATTTGACAGTTTAACAACATCCATTGCGTGGTTTTTGTTGTCGAGCAAACGAATTTTTCAATCACATGAAGCAATGGATATTGTTGGGTTGTTAAATTAGTTTTGGATTACTATCCCTTAAATTTTACTTGATCTGATCCATCAGGTTTCACCGCATATGTACACTTATGCAATGAATACTCCGCTACAGATTTTTTGTATTAAATACATAGTCAAACAATGAGTAAGTATGCAGGCAGCTAACTTGCAACTTGTTTTAAACAAGTGCTTACTCAAGTTTTGAAGTTATACTTCTTTTGGCGCGTTTGAGAAAAATGATGAGAGTGAATTTTTACAACTTCGGTTGGTAATTCTCTGTCAGTTGTTAAGTTTTCGTGAGAACTGATAACTATATTCAAGGTAGTTATTCAAATATATATGAATGTATAAAACGTGTTTTCTTTTAATTATTTTTGTTTTGTTACGCTAAAGAAGTACATATAAGTTCTTATGTGCGTACATAAATACACATACACGTTTTGTTTTATATGAATGTATCTTTGTTTTATATCTTTTTTTACGTGGTAGAGCCATGCTGCAGCTATATTAGTACTATAGTTGTAGCACGAATGGGTTGGCTCGACCGGGGAAGGACCACGCTCTCACAGAAAACCAGCGTAAAATAGCAGCTTAACGCTGCTGTGTTTCGTATGGTGAGTGTAGAGAACCGGAGACCCTTTTTACTGGCAAAGAGGCGTTCCATCTTGGTCCTCACGGGTGACAACGCATTTGCATCTTGAGTCTTTATTGAGGATAGATGTAGATGTCTATGGGTCACACTTACCATCAGGTGGACTGTGTGCTCGTTTGTCACCCTATCCTGTAAAAAAATGTGAACAAAGTTAAAAAGTTATGACACACACAATAAAAATGAATATTGACAGAGTAGTGGGAAAATGAATATTTTTGCTTGTATACCAAATACCTTTATTTTTATATACCTACCTTTGTTTACTGTACAATAATATGGTACAGTAAACATAGGTATGGATATCCTTGATTATAATACCATATTATAGTATTTTTAATATAAAATAATAATGATTAGTTGAGTAAAAATTAAATAAACTGTTTTAAAAATCAATACTTATTTTCTATTAATTGGTATGTAGGAAGTAAATTATACAAGTATGTTCGGTCCTGCTGGATATCATATTGAATTTTTTATTCAGATTTTTAATGAAAAATATTATTATTTTTCGCAGGTACATTAATTTCATTTAAAATTTGAATATCTGGCATGATCATGTAACGGTGGATGAAATATGATATCCAGGATTTATAAACTATTATTATTATATATTCATTTCTGAACAAAATTAATTTATTAAAATAATTTCTATACGACACTATTGATAAGAGTGTACGACATTATGTCACTGCTTTTTGACAGTTCGACAGCAGATCTACAACAAAACTTGGCGCTTAACATGGCGGCGCAGTGACGCACGGATGAGCTAATGAGGTCGCACGAAAGTATTACCAAAATAAGCACTTTACAAATAGTAGTCTCTCTTTTCTATTGCAGCTACTACTTTGTTAAAAAGAGACAAAACTGTTTTTGACAATTGTGTGTTGATATTATAGATATTTGTATAACTATTATTTCTTTAGTGGAATGTGCCCTCTCCATAGGTATATATCTCTATGCTGTTAAGTTTAGCTTGATAATTCTGACAGTTCACTGTAGGAATGAGTGGAGTATAAGCGTTAATGAATCCATTCTATTATTATTCTCATAGATCTTGCAATCGATAGTTGCATGTTTATGCTGTAGATCTTGCAATTGATAGTTGCATGTTTATGCTGTATTGATTTGGAATTTGGAACAATTTCTTATATATTTAATTAATAAGAAATTATTAGTATGGTAATAAAATCCCTCACATAATAACGCCTTCACCTTGTGCATATTTTTATTAGGTCACACAGACTATTTAGTAGAATACGTGCGAGTCGAAATAATATTTGTGAAAAGGCTTATTGTGAAATAAAACAAGGAATTTAGCTTACAGTTATTTATTATTAAAATAATGGTGC